AAAAAGAAAAAGACATTTGAGATTTAATTTTCAAAATATGCCCCAGCAAATAGATACCAAAATTGAAATATAAAATTTGAAAATGAAAATGCATTTGCATGTGGCTGCATTATTTGACTCATTAATAAAATGAATAATCAATCATCCTATTTGCATTTCTGCAAATGCATTTTCATTTTCATTTTGGTCATGATTCGCTTCCATATGCCTTTGGCCATATTCTGGCAAAGTATGTGCAAAGTATTTTGAACACACTGAAGAAGAAGTTAATGGGTGTTTAACTGTATAACTGGCTCAACACTGGAATCCATTTTAACCACCGTATCCACTGTAAAATATCTTAACAGGCCTGTTAACAACATATTAGAGCTAACGTATCCTCCTGTGTAGGAATACAATAACTCCAGTTTCATCAAAATCAGTGATATAGTTGTGTGACTACCGCTGTAAAGCATTATGCACTGCGGGTGTTCCGACCTAAAAGTTATACAGTGCAGACTTACAGAGGCACCATTCACCCTATTACAACTCAGTGTAGCATCAATATGATTTTAAAGCTGTTATTTTAAGGTAATCAATCATTATAATCCAGTTATATATATATTATTCTGAAATAATACTTTTACTTAAGCATTTACTTAAACTTTTACTTAAGGAACAGTATTTTTACTGTACTGCAACTTTTACTTAAGTAAAAGATCTGAGTACTTGTGTTACCAATCAGATAGTGCTGTGGACAGGATATTGAGACCGACAGAGTGGTAACAACAGATGCCTTGCATCAGGGCCAAAGCTCATTTTTAAATGTATTTATTTTATTGGCAATTTAAATAAATAAAAATAAAAAAACAATACTGATAATCAGATAAATGCAAAATATTGGATACAATAATCGTCCAGGCTGTGAATGTGTAAAGCATTTTGTATTACATTTAGCTTGTATGAAACGTGCTATACAAATTAAGTCTGAATGATTGTTATCAAAATTTAGGACAGGAAGCTGATAAGATCATATCATTGCCATGTTCTTAAGAAATTAAATATGTTACGTTTTTATCATTTTATTAAAGCTGCAGTAGGTAACTTTTATAAAAATAACTTTTTGTCATATTTGCTGGAATCTTTCACTATATCCTGACAGAGTAGATGAGACAATAATCTGTGAAACAATCAGGCTCCTCTGGCTCCTCCTAGTGCCTAGTGACAAAAAATTACTTTTATAAAAAAAAATACCTACTGCAGCTTTAACTGTTATTCTCTAAATAAAACTCTAATCTTAAACTCATCAATAAATGCCTACCACACCCTGTGGTTCCAGTCAGAGCTTCAGGCTCAGTAACACGCAGAGCATCCAACAGGAACTGTAGGTGCCCTTATGTAAATCCTCCTTTGGACAAATGTGGAATTCCTTACCAACAAAACTCTAATTGATCCAGTGTGTCCTGTTTTATGGTGCTTTAATGAGTTACTTTGTCTCCTGTATTGTTCCACCAGTTTTTCTTGCTGAGTTCTATGTTTTTAAGGTACTCACTTTTTGTTGAATTTGATTTGTACTGTCTCTGGTGTATTTGTCGAGTTTGATGTATTTTAAAGGCCCATCTAGGGACAGGCATCGCAAATTAACTTTGGCTATAAATGTTTTGGTGTGTGGCATTTGTTTACGCTCCATACCTGTCCCTATGCACATAAAGAATAAAATATAGTCAACATGTACCTGTGGCACCCAGCAGCAGTTTGTACCACTTTCATTATGAACGTGAAGTCTTTCAGTTCCTGTATGTTTTGCTCACAGATTCACTATTAATCACACTAGTAGATGTTTGTGTTTCCAAGCAGATGCTGATGATGATGAGATTATTATGTGCCCTGATACTGCGCTTTCTGTGTGCATTGTAACCACAAGTGACATGCTATCATTTGTACATCTGTGAACAGTGATGGGACAAAACAGCACAAAATAGCTCTCTCTCCAAAGGTGTTACAGTGTGAGGTGTGAAGAGAATGTCAGTGGGCAGAAATTAGAGTCTGATACAGGCCTCAGCTCAACTTATCTGTCACCATACTATTTTTGCAGTGACACTAAACTGTGAGCAGTACTTGGGTTTTTCCCACTCACTGCACAACCTCGATCTGACCCTGAAGTGCCCACAGGCACATTTCGTCTCTGACTACGTCACTCACAGACTTACATCATAGGACTGGGAGTGGTTGGAAGCAGTATTTTGTAATTAAAGAGCAACATCTGCTCAAAATTTTCTAAATTATTGGTCACAGTCCCCTGGACCATAGGATGCTAAGCATGACTTACATTAAAAGACCAGTGTGTAGCATGGCATTTGCAAGAATCCACTGGGCCTGAACAAAAAAAACCCAATCAGAGCTGTCATTAGGAGTGCTAGGAGGAACCAGAGGATTTTTTCATACATTATCTGTCTAATGTTCTACTGTCAGGATATAGTGAAAGTTTCAGCAAATACGACAATAAGTTATTTTTATAAAAGTTACCTACTGAAGCTTTAATGTCACCATGTACACTATATATACTGAAGGCTTTGATTACTATAGGGTTTTCTTTCCCCCACAACATAATACAATATATGACGGAATCAGAATGTATGTAACAATTTTGTGCGAACTACAACATAGTATAAACAGAACTTAAAGATAAAAAAGATATGTGAACAGCTTTGCTTCCTTTGGGACACTTGATAACTGGTAGAGGGCGTGCCCTATGTAAAAAGCTGCAGCGGCCCAAGTTGGGTTCCAACCTGTGGCCATTTGCTGCATGCCATCCCCCTCTCTCTGTCCTCTAAATTTAAAACATTGCTTCATTTTGAAAAGAAAAAATATTTTTTGAAACAGTTGTATAAAAGCTATAAGCTTACATAAAATATAGTTTTTGAAGTATTCAAAGAGATATTTATCAGATGTTGCACAAATAAAGACTAATTGTCACAGATTGTTGTGTGCCTTGGTGTTTTGCCTATTAAAGAGGCTTAGTTATTAATTGCTGAGTTATAACAGTAAGAAGGATAGGCAATTAATAGAGCCCCCCTCTCAATACATGCTACACAGTTTGCCCTGACTGTAGCGTTTTTCATGGAACAATATGGCTGCCTACTGGAGAGTTATGGCAGTTGTTTCAGCTATGCAGTATATGAAAAATCCGCTATTTCACCCAGCACTGGTAGAGATCGTAGAATTTGTCAGCAAAGTGTCAGCAAATACAACAAAAGGTCCAGCTTTCCATCTAATGAATACCTCAGTCCTTCTCTCTTACAGGCATACTGTGTAATAACAATGACGAACTGAAAGTAAAAAAAAATCTGCACTCTGCTAGTGCACTGGTGTGTGATTTCCCTTCTCTGTATCATCGTAGGGTGTGAAAGAGGATCCAGCTCAAAGTAAAGAGCCAAAGTTCCTGGGTAAGGCTGGCTGGGTGAAGAAGGCCCCCGGCAGACTGTTGGCAAGCTATAAGGACCGCTACATCCACGTGGAGAAGACAGAGATTGTGGTGTATGAAAATGAGGTACTACCTTTGCTCTCCCCATGCAGCACTCTCACTAATCTGCAACAGCGTCATGGAACTGTTGTAATATCATTTTCTGTTCTGTTTTCATAAAATCACAGAAGGCTGTCAACATATCTCAGCCACACAGTTATTTCAGAATTAACATCCATGTGGCTACAAAGACAATACAGTACTTGTTAGTAGGTTGTTTGATTTGCTGATTCATGAAATGCTAAATTATGTCAGCTTTATCCTTTAATTGGAATGATGAATGTGCAGATATTTACCTGTGCTTTGTGTTGCAGGACCGGCAGAACTGCTTAGAGAGGCTTGACCTGGAAAACTATGATAAATGTCATGAATTAAAGAGCCCCTTCAAGAAGAAGCACAGATTGATACTGATTCGATCACCCAAGTCTGGAAATAAGGTGAGCAGAGAGCTGCTTTGGGTGAATGTCAATGTAAAATGCAACATCATATGTCATGGTACAATAAAAAAAGTAAGTCATCAAAGTCATTTAATATAACTGGTATTGGATTGTTCACTTACAATAGTTCCCACAACTCAAGCAGAACAAATATTAGGTGACATAATCCAAGGATGGCTCCTGTCAGGAGGTTGAGAGCCAGTAGGGTAAGACACTGCCTGAAAGTGTACTGAAAATCTAAATCAAGCAGGTGATGTGAGAGCTGTAACGTTATCTCAGCTTGTTTCTCTGATGACTTAAGATCCAGA